CAGATGTGTATTCTTGCCTTGGCTTTCTCTCACTTGTCTAACTCTCTGTCCTGTGATGGCACACTTGGTGTGTTTCTCTGGCTTAGGACTGTTCACTGGAACTCTAAAACTGCTTTCTATGCGAGAGCTTGTTCAGCTTCCAGCTTCTCCTCCGCCATCTTGTCCTCTCTCTCCTGCTTAATTATTTTTATTTACTTTGTTGTGGAAAAAAGGCTATTACAACTCTTGGTTCAGCGAATTAATCTCTGATATTTGTTTTAGGTTCAGTTGATTTTAAACTGGTAATAGTAAACTGGTAAGTTCTTCTGAGTTTGAGGAATAGAGACCATTTTTTAAGTAAGATGTAAAAACTCCATTTCATCCAAAGAATCTTATAGTTTGTATTTAGATCCTACTAGTAACATTGTCTTTAACTTAGTATGAGGCATTGCTCTGATTTGGTAGATTTTGATAACATACCCAAATGTATAAATCTTTTCATGTTGTGTTCTTTTTAAAAGCCCAATACATCTTAGTTTCTCTCTATGTAGTTATTTTAATCACTCAGGAAATGAGTGCATATTGAATCTCACCTGACCCTTAGGTTTTCCTACAAGGATCACATGGTCTAACATTACAATCATTCAAAGGTACACAGACACTGAGGTACTTTCATCCAAATAAAATAAGAAAGTGATGTAATTTAAGAGATTCAACTTACATTTCAGAAAAGGAATAGCCAATACAATGATAAATTATAATATAAAGGAAACAAAACCCACTGGCATGAACAAGCAAATCATCTTAAAAAAGAAAAAAGATAAAGTACATTGCAAGCAAATTTATTAACAATCCACTAACAGTCTGGGAACAGAAGGGTTTAATAGATTCATCAAAGAGTAAAATTATATTCCATGCACATATTTTATCATATTTTATCATAAAATTATATTCCATGCACATATTCATATGCAATCTGCAGGTTCAATGAAATCAATCCTGTTATTACATCTAAGAAACTCAGGGAAAGAAAATGTTCATGCGTGAGGCATACAATTTGGATGAAGCCTGGACTATTTGCAAAGCAGGAAATATTCTGGTATGATGAGAATTGATAATACAACTTACAAGGAATACAGATAAGATGAAATATCGTTGCTATATAATCAGTGAAATGAAGAAAGGACAATGAAAGATAAATGAAAAATACCTGAAAGTTGCAGCATGTGAGAAAAGATACTTTGCCAACTTAACATTGTACGTTAAGTACAATGTACAACTAATTAAAGATAATTGTACAACTAATTAAAGATAATAAAAGTATAATTTTAAAAATAAATGATACAAATTCAATAGCAAATAATCTGGAAAGTACCCATGAAATTAAGTCCCTTTGGAAAATATGATTACAATTTATAAATAAAAAGTAGAGATTTCTAATATTCATGAATTTTGACTTAGTTACTCTTTAAGAAGTAGCTGTAAGTCTAAAGCCTTTCTATATTCTGTGAAGAATGTCTTCACTCCTCTATGAATTGGAGATATTACGTTGAATATCAAAACATTTCTGCTTTGTGTAGTTTACATTCATAGGGTAGAGTAAAAACACTCAGAGAAGTAAGTGATGTATAGTTAGAAGAAAATGAGCGCATGTGTACCAGAGAAGGGCCTAGAGTACTCCAATAACTGTGTAATTTGAGTTTGTTGAGGGAAATTAACACAAGCAAATAATATTTGAAGAGTGGTTGACTACATAGAGTATGGCAAGAGTTAGCTTCAGGAACTCTCCAGAAAATACTGAAATCCTAATTTTCTTATCTTGTACTTTAGTTCAAATATTTCAAAGTCTCTCTAGGGTATTTCTGATCACATACACTTATATTTCCCAGTGTTCAATTTTTTGAGATATCTATCATTTTAAATAGACTTCATAAGAGACATGCAGAAACGGTGGGACAAAGAGTGAACAAATTCAGTAGTGATATTCACTAGACACTATGTTGGAAATGAGCTCTACAACTTGGTGGGGTAGGGAGATCAGGAGGGGAAAAAACTGGGAGAAAGTGAGGGAGGGGGTAACACTGGTCAAAAAGAAATGTACTTATTACCTGACATGTAACTGTAATCCCTCTTTACATCACCTTTACAATAAAATATTTACAAAATAAGTATTTTGTAAACTGCAGATTCCAAATTCTTGCCTATACACATTGCTTTACTCTTACTAAGTAAACTATGCTAACTCTGGCCTTTTGAAAACATTTCATATGTTTTTATCTTCCAATTTGTAGTTGAAACCTCATTTTATTCTAGCTCCAGTTTCAAATCCATACTAAAATCCTCAGTTTGGCAAATTTTGATGCTCCCAAAGGTTTATTATTCAGTTCTTGAAGGTCCACAAACAATACACTTCTTTCTCATAATAGCTGTTTTATGAATGTGCCCTGTATCTTCCCAAACACAATACATGCCTAGCTTGTGCCAGTCCTGGCTTCATTCTGTGTACATTTTCAATTTCACTACTCAGTGGTGCATTTAGTAGATAATCAATAAACATCAAACCTTGATAGTCATCCCAACCTACAAGACTGATGCTGTAAATAAAATGCCATTTTACCTGGATGATGAATACATGTTCATTATGAGAAAATCATCATGAATTCTGTTTAGTATCTACTCTTTCATAAAGTATATACAATATACAATGCATATTTATAAGGCAACAATTTTCCCTTAATACTTATACACTTAGATATTGTCATGCTTTAATTATTTAAAATATCTCATTTATACTTTCTATACTTATATGCTTCTTACATCTTATGCTATATTTTAGATATAGCAGATGGTACATTATTTGATATATTTAAAGGGAGAACTCTGGTTGAACCATTAGTAATAGTTAAATTATATATTCTAAAAAAGTTAAAGTAAGATGTCTAGAGAATAATAACCACAGTAAAGTCTTTTGAATATTATCATAAATTCGACCTGCAATATTTATTTGATTATTTGGGATATATGAAAGGTCATTTACTTGTTTTCACTTAGGTATTTATACAAAAGAAACACAAAAGTGCATGCTGCATTAGAGAATACAGGGGTCTATATTATAAAGAAGTGCTGAAGTCAGGGCTAATTGGTGGCATTTGCCATGAAATCTCCTGGCGTTGTGGATAAAACATGTTTAGCAATGAAGAAATTTCTAGTATGATCATTTCTGGCTCACAACTTTCCTGTTATAACTTAGAGAGCCATTCATTCATTTGAAACTCCTTCTACTAGTAGATTTAACAATCAGAATACCAAATTCATGCACAAAGAACATTAGTTTCCCTTTTATCAACAGGAGTTTAAAGAATGAATCTAAATGGATGAATCTAAAACTCAGCATTCAATATGGGTAAAAATATTATTGGAAAGAAACATCATGTAAATAGGTAATAAACACACACAGATGTGAAATTATTTAGGGCATAACAATGTAAAAATAATATGGAAAGATATATACTGGACATGTTTGAAATGGTTTCCTCTGAAATGTGAGATGACACTTTCTACTTCTCAATTGCTTGCTTTTTAAAATAAGAAGTATATTTCACTTCTCCAATTAAACTTAAGCAATGTTCTATAGTCCTTACTACTACTATCTTCTGTGGAACCCAGGAATGTGTGAAGATATCCAAGTCTTCATATGTTTTTTTTTTCCCCTAGAATAATACCCCACTTCATTTCTTCCTGTTAGGAAAAGGTGAACACGGGAAGCCTTACCCTCTTACTGAAGACGACCATGACGACTCAGCTTACAAGGAAAATGGATTCAATATTTTTGTCAGCAACAATATTGCTTTAGAAAGATCTCTGCCAGACATTCGCCATGCTAAGTGAGTACCAGCCATAGGGTGGGCAGGGTGAGCTTTTCCCTTTGATGCTTTTGTTCCTTTGATTGTTTTATTTATTTTTTATTGTGAAAATACCGTACAGAGAGGTTACAATTGCATGGGCAAGGTAATGAGTACATTTCTTATCAAGCATTGTTGCCTCCTCCTTTATTTCCCTTTCCCATCCCTTCCCATCTCCGTCTCACCCCAACCCACCCCCTGCCAAAGTTGCAAAGTTCATTTTTCAACGTAACGACTTGTACATCTCACTGTTACAATGGGTCCACCTGTATCCCTATTTAAACGATTTGTTTTTTCCTTTCCCCTCCACAAATTATACCAATATCAAATACAGTGAAAACGGGGGTTATACCGTGGGGGAGGGACATACAAAGCAACAAAGAAATATCTTATAAATATGTTAGAAACCATGGCAAGAAAGAAAAAACCATTTGAGTCCTTATCTTGGGGTTCATTTTGCCTCACATCAACTTATCTGACAGTTTCTGCTTGTCTCAGATATATATTAGTTATTGTAAATAACTTTGGGCCTGGCTTACTTCACTTAATGAGTATCATTCTGATACATGTAACCAAAAATGTTACTCTAGTAATTTTGATTAAAGTTTTCATAGTCTTAAGTATGTTGAATATAAATTAGAATAAAAATGTTAAAATTCAAAAGAAAAGTAATAAATATATGTGAGGATCAATACACATTTTTCTCTGACTATATTTAATCTTTTAGCAAATTGAAATGTTTTAAGGTGATACTCAGACTGCTTGCATTTAATAGGTAAAATATGAGCAAAAGGTTTTACTGTAATTATAACATTTAAAATGATCTACATATACTCACCTTCCCAGGTTTCTTTCTCACCTCAGTTGTCTGTGTTGCTTAACATGACCATAATTATAGCCCAAAGATAATGATTGCATATTCAGCTTCCTGGTACTTTATGAATTGTTATGGCTTGTCAAGTATGAATTTTAGATTTATTAAAAAATAGCCAACTATAGTTCAAATGGAAACAAGAAAAATTACATATATAACTAAAATACACCTTCTCTCTTCTGACTGATATCTACTGTTAAATTGCTTTTTTTCTAGTGGATTATAATTTGCTGGTATTTCAAACTAGGCCAAAGAGGCCAAGAATATAGTGTGACCAGAATCCAAAAAAGATTTTCAATGTGTATGTATTTGTCAAACTACTTATCTCTACTACTTTGTTTACACATCTACCACTTCGATTTCCTTCTGGATAAACTGGTGGTTGAGTCGGAAAACATCAGAGAAAATAAAATCACAGAAACAAATGAAAAGAAATAGTAGAAATTTATATTCAACCAGTAATGTGAAATAGATGAAACTCTTAGCTTTGGGCAAAGGTAACTAACCCTTCAGGAAAATAACAATGGTTTGGGGGACTATTTTCTTATTGTCATATTGTATCCTTATAAAACCATTTGAAAACATACAAGGATTACTGGTTTTCTCTTCAGGTTTTATGTATTTTACAATATCGTTAAGCAGAGGATTAATGTGAAGAACAAATCAATTTTTCCCTAAATGAATGCTTTATCTATTGGCCTAAGCCTTTTAAGCAGCCAAATTATTCCCAGGTTACCTGAAATTATCGACAGTAATTCCCACTGACCGAGAACATTTCTCGTTATGAGAAATTTTAATACCTAATTGCACACCATCAAAGATGCATTAAGTTGCATTGTTGGCATAATAAATATGCTCAGAGAATAATTTCCATCCACTTCCTTTCCACTCCCATGCTTACAATCTCTTAACAGGTACTCAAGTGGAAAGTATTGAAGATGGAGAAGGCAGAAAATCACTCATGTGAAAGGAAATCTGATATTTCCATTCTTCTCGAGAGGATATTTTTTAGTGTAACCACTGCTTTTTAAGAAAAGAAAGACTTAAACAATCATAAAAAAGTTGAGAAAAGTATTTTTTAACTTTTATTAAATCACCAAGTCTAGACTATGACGAAAACATTATATTAAACAACTATGGACCAAAACAAAGCTAAGAGATGTTATTGCTATATTTTTACAGAAGCTGTATTTCTAAGACAAATTGCATAGTCTTTCAAGAATCCACTTTTTTGATGTTTATGGATTTATCTGTGTCCCCCAAGTTTAATTTTTCAATATAGAGCCCTGAGTAAGTGGTTCAGGAAATTGAAAACTCCACCTGGCATATATTTCATTATTATCCATCCAACTTCTCTGCAGGTAATTGAGCATAGCCTGTTTATATTGTTGCAATATCCAAAAGAGAATGAAAAATGTGTGAATTTGAAATGTAGCAATTTTAAGAATCCTTCCATTTGCAATCAGCCAAGTGCAGCTGTGGGTTTCAGAGTACCTACATGGGCAAGAGTTCATTTTCCCTGGCTTTAGGAATTTTTTTCATTGAAAACTATTGGTAAAATATTGGCTTGCGATTTTGCACAGGTTGACCACTCTAATGTGGATAGTATATTATTTATTTAACTGTTCTATTCTACAGATGATTCTCTGTGCATACAAAGGCTCTGCACCTGTTCATAGTCTCAGAATTATTTTAAATTAGTTCTAGATGTAGCTTAGTGGGCATTGTAGTTGACTGTAAAATAATTTACTCACAGTTACGTTGTTTCAGAAATCCTAACGCTCAAAGTATTAGTTTAATTTTCTAATTGATTCTTTACTAGCATAAAAACTCCTTGGTTTTGTCTTGATTATTTCATGACATCCTTGTAAGTAAAGAATTTCCATCAGCAAGAAAAGTCTAAGGGTTGTGTTCAATAATATAGTAAGTCTAAAATATATCCTAATAAAATCCCTTCAGCTATCCACTGAACTTTTTAACTTTATTTTTCTAATGTTTATCATGTTTTTACCATGTAAATTTGTTTTGTCATTCCATCTATGCTTTCATATAAACATTTCTTCTACTGTTTTCAAGCTTTTAAAAAATATTTTGGTTGAGTTTTATACATTTTAAAATAGATCATCTGTATACTGTAAATAGTCATCCTTTCCGTCAGTACCAGTTTACATCCACAGCCCCACCACTTGAACTCTTCCTTTAGAACACCTTATCTTTGCATCTGGTTGAATGCTGGTAAGAATTTAACATGAGAACTTCTGAGTGGAAAAAGGTCCAGCTCTATTTATTTATTTGTTTGTTTTATTGTTGGTGATGGGGCTTGAATAATGGGTCAAGGCGCTGTTCCTTAACTTTTCATCTCAAGGCTAGCACTCCACCACTTGAGCCATAGTTTTCTGGTGGTTAATTGGAGATAAGACTCAAGGACATTCCTGGCCAGGCTGGCTTTGAATTGTAATCCTCAGATCTCAGCCTCCTGAGTAGCTCTATTTTAACATATTAATTCTCGAAGGCAATTGAACATTGTCTTTGTATTTAATCACCTATCTGAGATGTCACATGTATGTTTTGCATGTTGGACATCGTATGATTAATTATAGTTCAAAGGGGTTATATGACATCTATGCGAATACAAAATACACAGGAAATAGGAAAATTATAAAACTGCAGAATGGCCTACATAGAAAAGTTCAGATAAAGTTGTACATAATTACATTGTTATTAAGATAAGATTAAAGTACTTGAGCCAATCTTGTTTCCTGGGTATAATCATATTCACTCGTATTATAAGTATTCTTTAAAACATAGTATAATCAATGTGTAAAAGAATAATTCTTGTCCATAGAAGAAATAAATGAGATGGGGAGACATAAAAGGTGTTTTGTTTAGAATCAAGATAAATGAGCCTTATTGTTTATTTATTTACTTATGCTTCTGTTTAAAAGTATATGCTCTTATGTAAGCACTTACAAATATGTGTATTTCTTAAAAGGAGCTGGAAAAATTTTAAATTAATATTTAGTATTAAAGACTGAGTGTTTGTATTTAGTATTGTGGCTTTCCCCCTCATCACTTCTTATTGTTTCTTTTTTGTGTTGCTCATATTCTCTAGATAGAAATAGTTTTTGCTTCATAACATTGACAATAAATCTTGTATCGAGTGTTGAGAGAAAACCTTGTGAGTCTCATCTCTTGAGAAAAGGTAGAATGTTTACAACCCCTTGGATGATATGATCATTTTCAGTGGTGTTATAGTCTTGTACATTGTACAATCTCAGAACCAACTCAAAAATTGTCTCAGAAATAATTTGATATGACCTTTATTATTGAGATTCTATTGGGAAGCCCTTTTGGATGTAGGCTGCATGTAATATCCAAAGTCGAATTCCAGTTCAGAAGATGCTTCAGTGTCAGAGTCACAGATCTTGCTGGAAAACATCAGACAGTTGCACTTCTGAAGGCCTGAAGTGTCCAAAGTGACAGCAGAATTCTATAGGCGAGGAAATCCCAAAGCAGAAAATGAAGGAGGAGCTGAGCCAAGCACGAGATGCTCTGTGACCCAAACTCATCCATCATGTCTCTTCCTTTCTCTTGGAAGCCTGTCTGAAAAGACAAAAGAGAGGACAGAAGTGTTTAATAGCTGTCCTGACACCGGAGAACATCTGGCAAGAAACTGAATCTCCTCTTTGGCTAAAGAGTGCATGATATTTATTTTGTATTTGAAGAATAAAGCAAGCCATTCTCAACATATTTAGAATTTGCAGTAAATGTTTTACTTGAACTCCTGCCCACCAGGCAGTAGGTTAATTCTAAATAATTTCATGTCCCTAACATACATGAGGATTCTGAAAAATTCAATTTGGATTTTTATTTACCCCCATTATTAAGTTTGGATGTAAATTTTACTCATGTCCCCAACTAGATATTATTAAATTGAGACCAGGTTTGCCAAATCAGTTGTAGCAAAATTAACTCAGTTGAAGTTGGACACCAATGTCTCACTGTAATCATAGCTACTCAGGAGACTGACATCAGAGGATCACAGTTCAATTCTAGCCGTAGGAAGGTCAATGAGACTCATTTTCAACTAGCCATTCGAAAACCAAAA